AGGCTGGCTTCGAACTCACATCAGTCCTCCTGCCTCAGCCTTGTGAGTGCAGGGATTAGAGGGATGTGCCACCATGCCTGGCCAGAATAAATTCTGATTTATTTTCCATATATTATTTGGAGAATTTTTATGAAGACACATATTCCTGCATCTACCGTTTAGTTACCCGGGGCTATACTTTATGTAGAAAGGCATGATAAATACTTGATTCTTTCCTTTTATTTGCCAGTTTTTAAAATAATAGATTGGTTCCTTATTGCTTTTCCAGAGACCAGTTTGATAGGGTTCTATCTATTATGATCGCATTATTATTATTATTATTTTTATTTTTTTAGTGCTGAGGTTTAAACCTAGACCTTCATGCATGCTAGGCAAGCACTCAATCACTGACCTACACCCCTAGCCTTAACTGGAAGTTGTATTGAGTTCAGAATTTCCCATCTCTGGCTACTAGAAGCTTCCACAGATTGGCTCCAAAGTACTTTTGTCATGATGCTAGTAGCATCTGATAACTTCCTTGAAGTCTGGTTTGACAAGATACTATAGGCTTGCTCAGTTTAGGAATCCAGTTACCAGCATGCTCTAGTTTGCAGAGTTTGCCACTACGCCTTAATTCATCTTCTGGTTTGGGGAAAACGTCCGGGTTTCAGTTGGCGTTCTCAGCTCGTCCAGCTATGGACATCCTGATCTGTTCCCTTCCCAGAAGTCTGTGCTTCCTCTGCCCCTCCACATAAGCATCTATTCCTTGCAGACGGCGTGGCTCTTGTGGGCCCGCTTCAGGTTTGGAGTTTGTGGTTTACTTTGCCGCCCGGTTTTGTTGCAAATGTGGTTCATAGTTTTGAGGGTTTTGTTTTGTGACTCATCAGTGTTAAGGTAAGGTTCAAAAAGTACACTGCAGTTTCTCATATCCACGCTCATTTTCAGTGCTTCGGCACTGAGTGAGTGGGAAGTCACCGCAGGGTTCTGAGCAGAGAAGTGGCACAGGATGGCTGGCATTTGTAAAGGCTCCGTCCAGCTAACGGACTGAAAACGGGCCACAAGGATATAAAGAAACAAATAAGGGGATCTATTAGAAGGACATTGCAGAAATTTGGCAAGAGATGGCATTGCCTTGGATCGGATTGGAATTAATGAGAAGTGGCCAGATTTGGATATATTTTGAGGTGTAGTGGATAAGATTTTCTGATGGATTGGTTGTGGAGTATGAGAGAAAAATGTAGTCCACGATGACTCCAGATAGCCAGGTATGGTGATGCACACCTGTAATTCCAGCACTCTAGGAGGCTGAGGCAGGAGGATCACAGGTTCAAGCCCAGCCTAGGCAATTTAATGACTTAGCAAGACTCTGTCTGAAAAAATAAAAAGGTCTGTCTGCAGATGTAGCTCAGTTGGAAGACCCTCGGTTTCATTCCTAATACCACCAACAAAGAAAAGCCTCCAGTGTTTTGTTTGTTTTGTACAGCCAAAAGGATGGAGTGAGACTTCAGATGAGACTTGATTGTAGATGTAGTGTATTGGGAGGGTAAGATCAGGAGTTTGGTTTGGATTATGTTGAGATAGTTCCTGGGCTTCTGAGTGAAGATTTCCTTTGTGATCCTGTGAGTACCACTATTGCATGGCTAAAATAAGAAAGGCATTGTTTATCATAGAAAATAAAAATCACATTTACCCCTGCTCCTCTCACTGTTAGCATTCCGGCATGAGTCCATACGTGCACGTGTGTGTGTTTCTGTATCTGTGTTGCATATAGAACACATTTTCACAAAACCAAATCTCTGTCGTACGTGCATCGGAAGCGTGATTCACAGCCACCTTGCTTGCTGTCTCAGGCTGTGGGTGTCGATCTTCCTGTTGTTGCCACTGTTGAGTGGTAATAATAATAGTCAGAGCAGCCTTGCTGTCTAGTTTCCCCTTTGATTTATTCCTTATCGTGTCTTAGGTAAAGCCAGCTCACTATTCCTGACAGACAGAGACTGAGTGTGCAGCCGCAGTGCGTAGCCCAGCTGGGTTTCGCAGGTAGCACTGTTTGGGTCTGAGACAGGTGCGGTACTGAGGCGTGTGTGACACACAGGCACTGTCCTCCGCGTCCTCGGTCGGCACTCCGTAACCACGCATATCACCGTCTCTGCATCCACGAGAGTGCTTGCTTGTGCCCGGTGGGAGGAGGACTGTCAGTAGATTGCTTTTGGTTCACATCAGCTTTTGCTGCCAAGTGAGTTGCAGGAGAATGTTTGTGTTGGAGAGTTCTGGGTTTCAGAATTTGGGATAAGAGGTTGCACCCTCACCCGTGTCAGGCGGGCTGCAGGAGCGGGTTTGGAGTGAGCAGTGTCTCGTCAGTATCTCAGTCTGTCACAGTAGGAATACTTGCACCATGGATGCGGGGAAATGCTGCAAGTCCTGCCTTTTTCTCCCTGGAGCACAGGCGTTAATCATGACTGCTTTTCTCCGTATACCTGTGCTGTGTACAGTGCATCGGTGTGTTTTTATCACCACGGTAAACCAGCTCATCTCAGCAGTGTACAGCGAAAGGAGACCTTGTTCAGGGAAGCACAGAGTGTAAGAATCAGTAGGTTCTGTAGGATGGCATTAAGAGACTGGGAAAAGCAGGAACTTTGAAGTCAGACAGACCTGCGTTCAAATTCTGTTATTTTCAGAGTGTGTGACCCTGGGCAAATCGCTACCTCTCTGCAGGTTTCAGTTTAGCCATTTGAGAATTAAGAACTGATGGCATTGCTCCTAAGATTATTGTAAGAATTAAATTAGATATATGAGAAGTGCCCAGCATAAATGCAGAAAATGTTTACCCTAAGCCTTTTTTTTTCCTGGAGGTTTTTAATCTCTCCAGGCACAAGCCCCATTCTGTAAAATTCCTAATGCGTGCACAGTAAATGTCATGCAACTTGGCACCTGGATGTTCTCAGGCTGTCTAATCCTACAAGCTCAGTAGACATGATCATATAAACATGTAGTACTTGAGGGGCAGGCATGGTGGTACACAGCTGTAATCCCAGCACTTGGGAGGCTGAGGCAGGATCGCAAGTTCAAGGCCAGACCGGGCTACATTGTAAGACCCGCTTCCAAGAAAAAAAGTAGTATTTGACTTTTCTCGAGCATGTTCATGTAAACGACTTTAACATGTTTTTTGTTTTGTATTGTGTTTTCTCACAGTAGTGGGGATCGAACCCAGGGCCTTCACACTGAGACACATTCCCAACCTTTTTTTAAAAAAATATTTTGAGGCAGGGTCCTCCTCAGTTATTAAGTTTCCCAGGCAGAGCTCACACTTGCAGTCCCCCTGCCTCAGCCTCCCAGAGTGCTGCTGCTGCTTTATTCTTTCTCCTGCTTTTCCTCCCCTCCCCTCCTATCCCCTTCTTCTTCTCCCTCTCTGAGAAAGCTTTTAGTTATTCACTTAAGCAACATTTATTGTCTTTATATATTAATGTACTAAGTGTTGGTATAGCTCAGTAGCATGATAGATAAATGGACAAGGAATCCAGCTGCTCATGTGCAGGAAAATGAGGCTTTTGTAGGGACATAAGTGAGAAGTGATGGTAATAAGAACTAAGTGTAGTCAAGGGAATGGAGAAGAGGTTGTCCTACTTAAAGCACGGGATAAAGTGTGTAAATCGGCAACCTTAGGAATGATCTCGCATTTTCCTTGTGCCATCCTAGATCTCTAGCTTTGCCTTGTGGGTAGCTGATGGTGCGTTGACCAAGAGTGGACCATCTTGGTCTCGAGGTGCACATGTTACCCCGGGTGGCGTAAATGTGATTCATCATGCAGCCCTGGAGAGACTGGAGCTGCTGTTACTAACCAAGCTGGGGCAGTCGGTAGAAGCTGCACCTGTCCTGGCCAAACCAGAGTGTGCTTTACACAGTGAAGTTAAGAACGTCGGGCCAAGATCGTCACAGGTGAAGCCATGTAAGGGAAGGTACAGAGTGAAGGAAGTGGTGGGATCAGTGGAGTCCCAGAGAAATAGTTGAGGCAGAGAGCACGAAGTTGAGGGAGGAGGCAAACCTGGGGTGGGTGCCCTGCAGGGTCTCAGAGAAGAGGCGTCTTATTTTTGCTTATTGGTAGTTTGAGGAGCGGAGCCCTTTTGCAAGAGTCCTCGTTGGGTATGATCGTCTGCAGTGAGAGGTCATACACCTACAGAAAAGGGGCTTTTAATTTTGTTACATTGGAGTGACTTCCTGAGCGTCAGCCCTGGCACTTTATGGTCATTTGACCAAAATCCAGTCCAAGTGACATTAATGTATATTTTATCCTAAGGTTACTACTTATTAGTCAGATATAGTGGGTATAAGCACTGCGGGCTTTAGGTACTGTAAATTTCTAGGTCAAGATTTCTAGCACACATTTGTCTTACAGTAAGACTTGTAATATAGAAAATCATGACCGACACCTGTGTTTCTTCTGTGGAACATAAAATTCTTTGGGTAGTCAATAGAAAAGTGGAGCAAGTGAGCATTTTACATTCTTAGTGATTTATAGTTGGCTGTTTTCTCAATGCTTCTTATTATGAAAAATTCCAAAGATACAGAAGAATTAAAAGGATTATACCCACAAGCTAGAGTCTACAATTAACATTTTACCATATTTGCTTCATTGCATATCTGTCCATCTGTCTGCCCCTCCGTCCATCCATCCATCCATCCCTCCATCCATCTATCCATCCATCTTTCTTTAAATGCGTTTCAAGTAAGTTGATGGGCAGTTTATCTAAGTGGTTTTTTTTCTTTTTTCCTGGATGTTATAATTAATGTGTTACCACATTTTGTCCAGATGTTTTCAGCTGCCCCTTTTTCTTCCAGAAATCTGAGGCTGCCAATAATCACTGTCAAAGTATTTTTTAAAAGTCTGGTAAATAGTGTAAAACTTTATTAGTGCCCTCTTTCACAGCTGCTTTATAATCCAGACAATTCTAATTTTAAAAATAATTTACAAAGGATTTTTTAACACCACTTAAGAAATTGTAAGTATTCGTTTATGTTGTTTTCAGAGTAGAGCGATCTACAGACCAAGTCATCAAGCCCGTCAACGTGGGAGCTCTGTCCAAATGGGTTGGGAAGATACCGCCAGATGTTCTCCAAGACATGGCTGTGATCGCGCCCATGCTGGCCAAACTCGGATATGACCCGTATGCCAACCCACCGAACTACGGAAAACCCGACCCCAGAATCCTCGAAAACACTAGAAGGGTAAGTGAGATTTTTAAAATGATTGTGAAAATTAGACATGGTCCTGACTGGTTTTTTCTTGCATTTGTACCGTCAGAAAATTATTTTAAATGAGAATAATTCTGCCTGTAGAATGCTTTATCAGGATAACTCTGGCCCCTCCCGAGAATGGTGGAGACATTTCTCTATGTATTTTGCCCAGTTTCTAGGAGTGATGCCCAGCATCCAGAAATGGCGCTCACAGCGGGGAGATTTATTCCTATACCCATTCCTATACCGTGTTCACGGGAGGCACATTTTCCAGACACTGAAGGCCGACATTGGCCACACGAGAAGAATGATCCGATGCGTACTCTATCCTGGCCCTCTGATGGAGAGGAGATTGCTATTAAAGTGAAACTAACGTCTTTCTTTTAATATGTTATGCTCATATCTTCTCAAACTGTTGGTTTAGAAGTGCTGAAGCCCCAGTGAGCTAATCTGGAGAAGTACCTTATGGGTTTACCCTATCTCCAATCAGACCCCCTTAGACATTCTTTAATTTTTTTATTGTAGTAAGAAATACATAACGTACATTGTAAATACATAATGTAAACACATAACATCACCCTTGTAACAATTTTTAAGTGTACAGTTGAGCAGCATTAAGTACATTCGCACTGTTGTGTACCTGTCACCATGTGTCACCAGAACTTTTTCCAGGTGCCCGAGTCAGCATTCCGTACCCATTAACCTGTGAGTCCCGTGCCCATCTGCCCCAGCCCTGGCAGCCACAGTCCTATTTCCTGTTTCTCTGTGTATTTTTTTTTGAAACAAGAATTCAAACAAGACAGCCATTTACCAGAAATTCAGTGTTAGGCTATTTGATTTCCAAATTAAAATGCATTGGCTTCCTCTGATACTCGTTTATATCTGTTTCCTTCATTCCCCACAACATTTATCATCTGTCTTTCTTTTGATGCTTTTAATTGACAAGCTGATGGCAGATCTATTGGATGAGGTTAATTTCCGTGGGTTCCTTTCTCTTAGGTATTACATTCATCTCCCTTTCTCAGTTCATCCTTCGCGGCAGTACGTACAGGAGGAGCTGTCTTATTGTAAATGATCACAGGAAGGCAAACATTTTATATTTTAGTCATCTCTTCTTTTTATACTTTTCATATATATTATATACATTGTATATAAATATATGTTTTATTATAAAAATATTGTTAAAAATATAAGCTCACCATGTAGCACTCCTATAACTAAAAAGGTAAGAGAATAAAGATCACCTAAGATGTTACCACTCAAATACATACTATTTGATGTATGCCTCCTCTTTCTGTGCATTGTTATGTAATATATTATATTATAGAATGTTCATGGTTATGCAGTATATAATCATAGGTGCTGTTTTAAATCCTTTGTGTGTGTGTGGCTTTTTAAGACACAGTCTTGCTATGTAGTTCAGACTGACCTTGAACTCACTATATAGCCTAGGCAGGTCTTTTTTGGGGCGGGGTGGTTACTGGGAATCAAACTCAGTACCTTATGCTTGCCAAGCAGGTGATTGTGCCACTAAACTGTATCTCTGGCCCTGCCTAGGCTGGTCCTAAACTTGAGGTAATCCTCCCATCTCAGCCTCCCAAGTGCTGGAACTACAGGTATACACCACCACACCTGGTTTAAATACTTTCTGAAGCACAGTAGTTAATTATTACATGAGCAAACAATATATTTCTCTAGTAGATATTTTATCATTAATTTTATCTTTTTTTGTTATTCATTCAGTTTTTTCTTTGACAGATTTGCTACAGTGAACATCTTTGTATATACTATACTAAATTGCTTTATATATGTGTATAATATAAAAAATACTTTAGAACTACCAGCATAACTGAGATGATTTTACTTTAGATGTTTCTTTTTTTTTCTTTTTTTTTTTGATCTTTTTGAGATGGTCTCCCTATGCAGTTCAGGCTGGCCTTGAGCTCACTTTGTAGCCCAGGCTGGTCTCGAACTCACAATGATCCTCCTGCCTCAGCCTCCCAAGTGTTGGGATTACAGGTGTGCACCAACACACCCGGCTGTGTTTCTAATTTTAATAGATTTCACTGATTAGCATAATTGAACATTTCCATTTATTTATTATTAGTAATATGTATATATTATTTTATGAATTGTCTGGTAAGTTTTTAAAGTTTTAGGTGTATTGAAATTTTACGATGTATACATTGGTAAAAGCAAAGCAGACATCAGCCTAGCATTCTATTTTTGTAACCCTTGATAATCTCTCCCTTTTCCTTTTTCTTTTTTTTTTTGGTCTTTTTTGAGACAGGGTCTTGCTATACAGTTCAGGTTGGCCTTGAGCTTACTTTGTAGCCCAGGCTGGTCTCGAACTTGCAATGATCTTCCTGCCTCAGCCTCCTGAGTGCTAGGATTACAGGGGTGCACCACCATGCCCAGCAATAATCTCTTTGTAATTGGTATTTCATAGCTTTCTCCTTCATAGAATCCTGAAAGGGTTTGTCACAAACCAAGATACATGTATAAGTGATATTTTGAGGTTTTCTGGGACAGTGGACACTATAGTTTTCTTATATGTAAGTTGGCTTGGCTACATTATTTTGGCTTTCTTGAGTGGTAGGTTGGGAAGAATGGCGTGGTTTGAGTCCATGTGATGAAAACACATACACATACACTGTGGTTTTTGAAAGGGTTCCAAAATGTACACTGGAAGAAAACATTTTCCCCTCTCTATCTCTAAAGTGACATAACTTTGAGGAAGAAAAGATAATATAAAATATAATTGCATTTTTGAGCCTTTTATCATAATGCGTATGCATCTTTTTAGACTGGGTTTCATATACTTTCTTACCAGTTAGTTCTGCTTCAACCTGTTTCAATCCAAATCTGATGTATCTTCAGAGCTCTGCGTGCATGTGCGTGCGTGTGCATACATGTGTGTGCATGCATGTGCGTGTGTTCCTACATGCCTATGACTGTAGTAACTCAGATGCTTACATATCCGCACTGTTGGACATGAGGTTTCATAAAAGGATACTTGCAAAGAGATCATTGGCTGTCAGAGGTGGGCTCCGGAGACAATGTAGCTGGAGAATTTGTTCCCTTATGTGTAGTATGGAAACAGGAGAAAAAATACATTTTGAGTGGAAATGTAGAATCTCAGTCCCAACATCGAGGCCTAAAACTGCTGGCTTTCTTAATGGGGAGCCCAGAAGTAATAATATCTCAGCACATTTGAGGGACAGACTGCCCAATTCTGAACATAAAGTCACACATCTCAGTGCTGCTGTGACTCATGTGGTAAACTGGAAATGTGACATCAACATGTTCTGCATGCTCTTTCCCCACATTAGCTCTACTCCCAGCATTACAGCACATGGTAGTAAGTGGTGTCTCCAGGTTACACCTCAGCCTTCTCCCTTGTCTGTAGATTTTTTTCCCTCCATAGATTCTTAACTTTTTTGGACTTAGGAACTTATTTGAGACTCTGATGAAACTTAGGGATCCCTGCCTCAGAAATATTGACTCATACGTGCGTGGAATTTTACCCATAATCTCTGTGGATTCATAGATGCCCTTTATATTAGTTAATGTATGAAGTTCATGTAGTTAAGAGGAAGAGAGTCAACAGAAAATAAATGTATGATGATGCAGGGGGTTCAGTAGGTAGCTCACAGGATCAGAGGCAGGAGCGTCCTCAGTGGCCGTGTACACCGTGGAGAGCTGGAGGCCCAGCAGCTACTCAGTCCAAGAGGATGGAACCGCCATAGAGGGATCAAGGACCCAGCTCCAGTCTGAGTTGAAGGCATGGCAGCTTGCTGGGAAGAAACTGGTGCGAGGCTGTGCCGGAAGCTTGGATCCTGGAGACCCGTGTCCACAGGTGATGCAGCAGAGGACACACCCGCTCGAGAACTCCAGACTGTTGGTGGGCGCCAGCCGTGACCGGAGTGCGCCTTCCCCTCTCTGTTTGCTGGCCCTCAAGAAACTCACATTCAGTGTCCACAATCAAACTTACTGGACAGACTTCTTCCGTGAGGGGCAGAGGTAGGTAGATTGTTCGCTGCACTGAGCAGGACTGCAGAGTAGGGGAGGGGATGAGGCTGTGCCCGTCTGCCCTGGAGGTGAGATGGAGAGCAGATATAAGTCAGGGCACAAGAACACTTCAAAGACCTGGTTACTAACCTTGGAAAGTGAGAGGAAAAGCAGATCCAAGCGTGAATATGAAAACCTGAGTAGACCACGCTGAGAAAGAATAAATAGAAAGAGGTCTCGATGCAGAACTCATATAGCAGATAAGAAGGAATTTGAGGTGCGTGGGGAGCAAGGCATGGGGTAAATCCCTGAGCCACGCGGAAGAAGCTGCAGCAGTTGAAATTTATGTACTTGCGTAGAAGGCAGAGCCTGTAATGCACAGTCAGGTTTCCAGGTTCTGGTAACCAGTGAAAACAGCTCCTTCCTGCCTTTCCTATCCATGAGCAGCATTCCTCTTAATCCAGTCACCCAACTTAGGACTATTTAATGTTGCAGATCACAGGTAAAAATTCTTGAATAGCTCCACTCTTCGTATAGGTAAAGTCCAGATTTGTTAAGAATGACATTTACTTTTCAAAATATTTGGAGATTTTTTAGTTATCTTCTTCTTGTTGGTTTCTGATTCCCTTATGGTCAGAGAACACACTCACTGTGGCTGCCGTCCTTTGAAATGTATCGAAAATGGCTTTATGGCCACCATATATTCACTTAAATGTGTATTCTGCAGTTAATGTGGAGTTCCATAAATATCAGTTAGGTCAAGTTGTGTCATAGCGTTGTTCCGTCTTCTAATTCTTACTTGATTTTTGGTTGAGCTTTATAAATTTTAGGAAAAGTTGTATGAATGTGCCTTTTGCCTTTCATTTCTGTCAGTTTTGCTCCATGTATTTTGAATATATATTATTAGGAACATACTCATTTAGATCTTGCTGGAGAATTAACTTTTATCATTGTGAAATATTTCTTTATCTCTAAGTTAC